ATGTGTCTTGGAGATTCCTTTTGTGTCCTCTTCCAAGGGAAAATTCTCACAATGGAAGATTAAGGGGATTTTAACCATCTAGGTCTGCCTAGAGTTCAAAAATGTCTTGTCATAACTCCAATTTTTAGCTGACAATTATCAATTAGGTATAATTTAACTTTAGCACCTACCCTGATCTGCCTCCCAGAGAGTGTTTACTACTCTCAAAGATATTGTGGAGTAACTAATGTGCTACCACTGGTATTCTAACCATTAAGAATAGACCAGTTTATACAATTAGCTCTTAGCAAAAGCATTAACTAAGATGGTAGAGTAAAAAGACTAGTTATAAAATATTTTCTTATAAACCTGAAACACATCCTTTCACAAGTACATATGGTAACCATGTGAAAAAACAGGCACAAACTGAGAACAGAGCAGTAGTAAGGCATACACATAAGAAATACGTGTGGCTACGTCAACTCACTCCTCTGGTAGTACTTGAAGTCCTTTCTGTTATAATAGTGTCTTCACAAATCTTGAAACATTTCCAGCTTCGAGTGATTGCCTTACTCTATAAGTGTCTAAATGAAGTTTGTGACTCTGCTCCTTCAGCTGGGCCCAGAACTCACTGATTCTTCACCGTCTGGGTAGTGTGTCTCCTTCTGGGAGAGGAGATCCAAAGTCAAACACCATGAGAAATCGTCTTCTACTTCTCTGGATATGACAAACATCCAGAGATTAGCTATTGTGAATGTGTGTACAATGTTCAGTTATCCAATAAAGTTGCCCCCTTCTTTTGCTTATAACTTGCAGAGTAATTGTGGCCTGGAGCACTGAAATATTAAATAATCATTGTCATGGAGCCAGTATGTTTCAAGGATAGGACCTGAATCTGGGTCTTCCTGACTCCTGGCTCTATACACAGTTGCAGGGTAAATTCTCAATGAGCCAAGGTAGGGGTCATGAAAGACAAAATGGAAAATTTCATTTTTATAGACTTAAAAAAGTTTTTGCAGGGGAAGTGGTGAATTGATAATGAATGAATGAATAAATTAACAGATAAAAAAAGCATTTATTAAACACTTACTCTGTGTGAAAAAAAGATGTATGGGGTGTTCATGAAGGACTAGCACCTCTGGTGTGAGGATTTGCCAAGCCCATTACAGGACCACTTATCCACCTTTGGTATCTACCTTCATCTAACGCTCACCTGTGGCTGCAAGAGGCAGTAATATGTGTAGCAGCCGCACCCCAGTAAAACCATCTCAGCAGATGGGCTAAACCAGTTGGAGGGTAATCAACAGGCTTCACCCTAATTGATGGGTTAAAGAGATGTCTGCCCCAAGCATGTGAAGACTTCCCCCAACAGAATGGGTGGATAAGAACAATTTCTTCTAACGGCCATGAAAGTGGCCAAAGAAGGCCCTATGGAACATTTAGAGCTTGGTTAGACATCAAAGATTGGGGTCATCCACCGTATCCTGGGCCATCACCAGGCATCCTGACTTTTGTCTTGCCACTGGACTTTGATGATTTTGGAAGAGAGAGTAAGGCTGATGACTGTGTAACTCTGCCTCACTTAAATCCAATTCACACATGAGTCATAACATCACTAGCGATGTTGTTGTTCCTCTTTGAAAATGAAGGACAAACAATAACAACTATGCATAAAATCCTATGAATACAAAAAGAAAAGTGTTTGATCACAAGGAATTCACATTTCACTACGGGGCACAACATATATAGGATATTTCAGATGATCAGGCCCAGGGTTACTTAAAGTACAACAACACAGCAGATGATAGTGCATCACATTTAGTATCAATTCCATTAATAAAACCACATGATAAAAACAAAATGAGGTTGAACCACTTGACAGTGCCAAGGACTTGGAGAATGTGCACTTTCTTTTCAAGGTCTTTAGTAGCTGTGGCTGCTGTGGAGGTTATGGCTGTAAAGGAAAAAAAAATCACATACTTCATATGATAGTGTACTATCTCAGAAAAAAAGATGTTTAATAGAAATATGAGACAATAAATGCCATTTTCCAATACAGAAGTAGTTAAATAATGTGAACAGACAATATGAAAGAATGATCTAAATCAAGGATAATAAACATACAAATCAAAACAGCTTTTAGGTTTTACCTCCCACTTAGCAAAAGATCAAAGATTACCAAAAAATAGGAAGAGATAATCATGGAAGAGACATAGAAAGGCAAGTGCACTAATGTACTTTTGGTGGAGCTATGAATTGGTCTAACTATTCTGGAGAACAACTTTAAAAGTATATTATTATATACCTACTACTGTGTGTCCATGGTCACACAGCTAATAAATAGCAGAAGAAAGATTTCAACTCAGGCTCTGCCAGATTCTAAATTTAGTATGTTGTCCATTAGTCCATACTACTGTCTTCTCATAGGTGTATGCATGTGTGCATGCATGCATGCACGCATGCATGGGTGCGTGTGTTCATGTATGCATTACTGTGTAGTATGTATTATATGCATATATATACATTTATTTTTTACATATATATACATTTATATATATATATATCTGTATGTAGGGATGTATGTATAGATAGATGGCTGGATGGAAGGATGGATGGATGAATGGATGGATAGATGGATGGCAATGTAGAGACAAGAACATCTGGGATCAAATTCTGCCTCTGATGCTTACTAGTTTTGTGATCATGAGCTATTACTTTAAACTCTCAGTGCCTCCATATGATTTCATAAGACTTCTAAGTTGTAGAGGATGATAGAATGAAAGATTTAGAGTTTTAAGGACAATCTGAGGTCATTTATTCCAACCACTCATTTTGTAGCTGAAGAAGCTGATGTCCAGAGGTGATTTAGTGGCCTGCCAAAAATCAAATAGATAATAGCCACCAGAGCCAAGATTTTAGCCCAAGGTCTCAACTAGTGATTTTTCCTCTGTGGGGAACTTCCTGTTGTAGAGACTTTCTTCACTGATCCTGGTCCACTGGTATGGTTGAGGGTAGTAAATACAGTTGGCCTCGGAATATGAAAGACCTAGATTTAAGTCTTGTCTCTGTATGATCCTGGGAAAATCACTTAACCTCTCAATGCTCCAGTCAACTCTTTTTAGAAATAGTTTGCAAAAGAGTTACTAATCTGTGTTTGTAGGGACAACATCCTCACTGTAGTTCCCTACACCAAGAAAATCAAAGAAAGATAGATAGGTAGGTAAATGGATGGATAGATAGATAGACAGATAGGTGTTTATAAACATGTACATGCATACACATGTATCTATATATATACATGTATGTGACTATATGTATATGCACATATATTTGTATATACCATTATATAGTAATATCTCAATATTGATATCTGTCTAGATTCATATATTTCTATCCCCATAGCTATAACCATAGATCCAGCTAGCTATAATGGCTATAAAGTAGTAAGACGTTCCAAGTGTTTTGTGAAGTTAACCATCATTTTGCAGTTATATGTCACCTATACATCATACATACCTAAACATATACATATATAATTAACACACATCCCCAACAAACAGAAACATCCCCAGAATTTAGAAGGATAACAATATTTTTTGGTGAGCTAGCATCCTAGTACTAATTGCTCATTATGGTTTTTTTTTTCCACATCCAAATACACAATATGTTTGACTTATTAATAATGAGAAAGGAGATATGTAAAGAAGGCAGAGGTCAAGCAGTCTTGATGTAAACAATGCTTTCTTTCTCTGTTTGGATATTTTATTATAAATCAAGTGCATCTTATATAATAAGGCTGGCCTTTATTATCACATCATTGCTGTCTTGAAAAGGAAATAGGGTATGCACCACAGTTTGAGATAATTTGTAATTACAAAAAGATATGCATCAAAGTCAGGTACTCCTCACATGGCTTTAAAATCCTTTCATTTGGTTTTTCTGCACGTCTTTCTTGTTTTATAAAGAAAGTATTAGAAAGACGTGTTTTTATTGCCCTGATACCTTTAATGGTGCACACTGGGAAGCTAAGCTGGATACCTGATTGATGCCATTCCTACCTGTCTAGAAAGATAATGATCAAACATCTAGGGGTCTGTTTTCCAGGTGATGTGTTCATGGAACTTCCATTAATGTTAATGGGAATCATGCAGCTAAGCACAGCTACCAGTGTAAAGAGGCTGAAGGTGTGGTGGTTGCGTTAATGCTTATTTCTTTCTTGGCAGTTGTTTGGAACATATGTGGAAGACAAATCTTTTTAAAGGTAACAATCAGCCATGTTGGAGAAGTGCCTCTTATGTGTCCTATGCTGATGTATTGCCACTAAGCCTTATGCATGAAACTTATTGCTGCTGCTAAATAGTACTAGGTAAACAGACATTATAAAATGGCTGTCTACTTCTTACTAACTATCCATAATTCAAGGATATAAAAAAGAAACAGACTGGAAATCTACCAGAAATCATGATAACTTAAAGCAACTGGAAACAGACAAATATTGTATGGTATTTCTTTACCAAAAAGTGTTATTTCCATAAAGGATGACACAAGCTGATTAAGACTAGACCAAACTAAGGAAGTATACAATACAAAACGCGATGAACATTTTTCTGCTTGGGTAGAGTGATTGTATGTAAATACTCAGTTGTTGGGTTGGGGGAAGGAGCCTGTAGGAAATCTGCCACAAACAAAGTCATTGATGCATGTCTCTTTTGTGGAACCAGAAAATATTAAGAAAAAATGTGTTTTGTTTTGCAGAATCTTAGGGATCCCAAGATATTAAAAGCAGACAAATTATGTTTTTAGCAATTTCTTCTCAGTTTTGTTAAATTTCAGTGTTTTAGGAGCCCCATTTCTGCCAAATACTGTGTGTGTGACCCTGGGCAAGTCTCAGTCTCTCAGTGCTCTAAGTGACTCTAGGATTGTAAGTTATAGAGAAGATGCCTAATTGTACAATAAAAGGATTTTCCTTTACTTTGAGAACAAAATTACAAATCCAGTCCTTACCTCTTTTCCTCCTTCAGCAATACAATATGGATTCTTTTTGGATGAGTGTCACTGATAATTCTGGAAACAAAGCATATTTCCTCATTCAGAGTATTTGACGTGGAATCCGAATGGTTTCCTGGCACTTTGTGTGAATATTAGAGAATGTTGAAGACTATCTTGAAGATATACAGTGGATTCTTCCCCATAGGGCATTCCTGGGTGGCCAGTGAAGCAGAGACAGTAGTTTCTGTCATAATAGTTAGCCACATTGGAGAAGAACCTGGATTGGAATTTAAATCTTCTACATCTTAACACATGATCTGATTCATTAGATGACAATGCCTCCCTTCTACAAACAGTCTGTTTCTCAATAAGGAAGTTTTGGACATCTCAGCAAAAGCTGGATTAACCAGAACCTTCAATAAACCAGAAATTTGGGGTGAATGGACAAAAGCAAGACTTCATTTCTACCAGAAAGTAAAAGCCAAGTTAAAAGAAAGGAAGCTAATATCAATAATTCCAGTTTAAAACACATATACACAACCCAGTAAAACAAACACCAAAGAAAATCCTTTTCAGGGTCTCAGTACTCATTTAGTTAATACAGGTTTTCCTGCTCGGGTGTGACCTTTTTGTACCTAGCTAGAGGGCAGCTGGGTGGTGTCATAGGGCACAGAACACTGGGCCTGGAGTCAGGAAGACCTGAATTCAAATGTACCCTGAGAAACTTAAGCATGGATAGAGCTTCTGGCCTTGGAGTCAGGAGGACTTGAGTTCAAATCTGACCTCAGACACTTGGCACTTGCTAGCTGTGTGACTCTGGGCAAGTCACTTACCCCCAATTGCCTCACACACACAAAAAGGAAACTTAATAGGTGCACGAACCTGGGTTGTCATTTAACTTGTGTCTGCCTCAGTTTCCTCATCTGTAAGAGGCAGATAATAATAACACCTACTTCCCTGTGTCATTGTGAGGATAAAATGAGATAATATTTGTAAAATCACAGCACAATGCCTGGCACATAGTAGGTACTATATAAATGTTGTCAATGATGATGATGATCATTCCCTTTATCGATCAAATGAGGATAATTTTATACCTACCTTGATTTCCTCATGGGGTTGACTTGCCAATTGATGAGATGATATTTTCATCAAAACACCTTGAAAATTTAAAGGTACTATACATTGTACTTGTCCTCTGAAGTCCTAATTCAATGCCTAATCATGTCCTGATTACTGAAAGTAACACCAGCAGTACACAAGTTCTGGCCACCCCTATCAAGAAGGAAGAACATTTGGGTATTGGTCCAGCATGGATTTGATGTTTATTAACTGAGGACCAACCTGGCTAAATATGGAGAGGTTCATTATTAAAGAATTGGGCCCCGAGTAATAAGATTTCTTGGCCATGACAACTTATTAAACCATCTAATGAGACATGAAGTGGCTACATCAGTAAAAGGGTAATATTACAGATCCCTGAATAATTGAAGTATATTCACTATTATTCTACATCTCCAATATTGCTCAATGGAAATTATATTTGGGAAAATTGATTCTAGAACCCTGAGAAACTTTCAGTCATTTGTAGAACCAAAACTTTCTGACATCTAGTGTGAATTCAGGGGGATGAGGAAAAGATTGACTCTTTCTTCACCTTGGTTGGGCAACTTCTTTTCTGTGGTGATCTTTTAAGCTTTGTTATCCTCTACTGGCTTCAAGAAGAATGCATCTCCTAGGTCAGCACTCTGGGGACAGAGGAGGAAGGACATTCCTCTATATCTACCTTCAGATATCAATGCCCTGGATGAAGTCCCAATGGCCCTGTGTTAGTCATGGTTATAAGGCTGTTATAAGGCTCAAGTAAAATCATTATGTGAGCATCAGTAGCTTATGCAAAAGTATTGAACATATAATTTATATATTCTGTATGAATCTGTTTTCATTATTATATATTCACAGAAGGAAAATGGGTGTTTTAGAAAGTTATTCACTCAGAAAAATCGACACACAAAGTCTTTGTACACAACTTTGAACTTGGTAGGTCCTTAATAAATGCTTGCCATACTAAAGTTTCTGGTTAATCCTGAATTAACCAGAAAATTAATTAGGGCTCCTATCCTCCAAGTATTCTAGCTAATTGAGGTTTTCCTTAACAATATACTTTTCTACATAATATAATTGATTATAAGTGCTAAAGGGAAAATGGAATAGAAGTGACTATATACATTGGTTACTATTTTGACTTAGTCATAGATTTTCATCTAAAGATGCTATTTTAAGTCCATGTTGTATGTTAGAATCCCTTGTGCAAGAAAACTAGGTATGCCCTTCTGTGGTCCCTTGTGCATGTTTGTCACCTCAAAAGGCAAGCATTTTCTTTTGTTTCTTGTCTTTTTCAGATGCAAATTTTGTCTTGAGTTTGCAGTTTAGTCTTCTTAGGATTTAGAATTTCCTTTTAAGAAAAATTCCTTATTACAGTAGATTATAGCAAAGGTCCTTAGCACTTTATGAGCAGTTCAGAAGTTATTTCACCTTCGTAGGATTTTCTCTTGTTCTGGGGATTTCTGGCTCTACATTAAGAAATGGAATGAAATGAAGTAATATCTGGACCACTTTTTCAATTCACGTCACATGGTAGAAAAATCTTACCAGTCATGTTAAAATGAAATACACACACACACACACACACACACACAACACACATGTATATAGGAATGCTAGACTGTACTGATTTTAACATGTTAACTGAAAACTCAGGCTTTGATAACTCAATTACTTTACCGTAAAATATAAATTACTTTCATCCAGGAATACAGACAAATGTAAATGAGGAAGCACTTTTGAAATCAAGAAGCAATGAAAACAAAAAGTATTATTATTTAGGAAAGTCAGAAAGTCTTATCGACTCAAAAGATTATGAGCTCCTTGGTGGAAGGGGACATGATATATGCTAGGCACTAGTTTTTATTTTCATTGCTGATTAGTTTTGATGGAACTGCAATTTCATCTTTGTAGGGAATTCCTACTATGGTAGCAAGCTGCTTGGGGTGATTTTATGTGACCTGACTATGGTCATGCTGCCAAGAGAGGAAGTCAATCTGGTAGTGGAAAGCACACTGGCTCTGCAGTCAAAGGATTTGGGTTCAGATCCTGCCCATAATCCTTACTACTTGTGTGACCTTGGGCAAGTCCATAACTACCTTCTGTAGGTCTGAGTTCCTCATCTATAAAATTATGGTATCAGATTAGATAACCTCTGAGGTCTTTTCTAGCTCTACATTTATGATCTCCTATGTCAGATTAGGACTTGAACCTTTCTGCCTCTAAGCTAAGCATCCTATCCACGATGTCAGGTTGCTTTTCTGGGCATTCAAAATAACTGATGAAACTTCCTTCACTTGTAATATCCAACCCACACAGAAGTTATTAATTAATTACTGTAAAAGTAATAATAATGATAATAGTAGTAACTAGCATATATGGAAAGACTTTAGGTTTGTAAAGCACTTTGCAAGTGTTAACTCATTTGCTTCTCATGACAAGCCTGTGAGGTAGGTGCTATTGTTATTCCTATTTTATATATGAGAGAAGCAGAATGAGAGAGATTAAGTGATTCCCCTAGAGTGACACAGCTAGTAAGCATCTATGGTAGTGTTTGAACTTAAATTCCTGACTCCAAGTCCAACACTCTATCCATTGCACCATCTAGCTGCCCAATAACTCTATTACCTGGGTTATATATTTTTAAAATTCTAACAACACATTTTAATATCTAGCAGTCATAAAATCTTGCCTTGTCACAAGCTGTAAGTTATGGTGGCTCAGTAATATTCTTTACTGTCCAGATAAAAAAGGAAATTACTAACTCAATCCTTGCCTGGTGATACAGTTAGTTGCCTGAGGTCTCAGAAGCTTCACTTCATTTAACATGAAGAAATATAAAAATGACATATAAAAATTCCCTGGGGGGACCATTCATAATTGTTTAAAAATATTTTTCTAAGTTTTCTGACCTGCTCAAATACCAGGCTTCCACACATATAGCCTTTCCAGCCTACGTAAGTAGAAGTACCAAACATACTTGACCTAAAAAGACCTTTCCTGGTGAGAGTGTTTGAGATTATATTTTTTATGTGACTATAAATTGGATCCAAACACTCCCCTTTCTTATTGACTACATAATCAAATCATTGGTATGTTGAGGGTGGGACACCTTTTCCCAAGCGTCCATGCATTTCAACATGCGACATGAATGTCCATATTTCTCTTTTTTTTTGTCTTTTGGATTTTTTTCAATTAACAATCATTTGCATATATGTTTATTTGAGACTAAGTCTCTCTATCTCACCCAGGATGGAAATGCACTGGGTACTTGTGGACTTGATCCCACTGCTGATAAGAATGAAAACTTTGACCTGCTCCATTTCAGCCTGGGCCAACTCATCCCTTCTCAGGCAGCCTCGTCATGCACTATTCTCAGGGACTCCATACTGGCGCCATCCAAAATGTGTCCTACTACAGCTTAGAATGCCTGAACTCATTCAAACCATTTGACTCAGCCTCTGGGTCACAGAGATTATAGTTATGCATCACCATGCCTAGCTACTGAAAGTATTTATTTTCTCTCTATTTCCTGCCTCCACTACAAATTAGGATGTTAAACACACAAACACACACACACACACACACACACACACACACACAAATTCCTTGTAATAAATATTATGTATGTATATATTCACATATATTACCTTGAAAGATAGCCTAGTATTATATGTGTGTGCATAGACATAAATACATTTTATGTACATTTAGAGTTAAGCAGATTTGCTCATTGGCCATGTCCAAAAATGTATGTCTTATTCTGCATATGTTATACAGCTCCTTCTCTCCTTTGGCACCTCCACTGCCCTGGTAGAGGTCCTTATCATCTCATGCCCAGACTATTGCAGTAAACTTTTTGATTAGTTTTCTTATCCAAGTTCATTCCTTACTCCAGTCCATGCTTCACTCAGGTATCAAACTGATTTTCCTAAAGCCTAAATTTGACCATGTCACATCCCTACGCAAGAAATTATGGTGCGGGGAGAGTGGCTTGGCTATTACTTTGTAGACCCAGAATTCATAGCAAGTATAGGTAATTTAGCCAAAAAGCATCCAGAAGTATTCTGATCATTTTAAATTCTTTGTATTTTATTGTTTCCTTGGCATTAGCCACATGGGGTTTTCTGGGAGGACTAGCACCTTTATGAGGTATGAGGGCTTGCTGAGACCTTTACAAGGCTACTTACCCACCTTTGGTGTGCGTCTGTCACCTAACTTTCACAAGTGGCTCAAAGAAGCTGTAGCATGCACAGTGGCCACACCCTGGTAAAACTATCTCAATAGATGAAGTTGAGGGCAACCAGCAGGCCTCCAACCCACTCATGAGTGGATCTATCCCAAGCATATGAAGACCTGCCAATGGAATGAATGGATGGGAACAAAGGCCATAAGGGCAGCTGATGTAGGCACTGTGGAGCACTTAGAGCCTGGTCAGACATTAA